AGGCTGCCTGGGTTCTGCCCCCTGCTGTGGGAGGGCAGTGGGTCCCAGTGGTTAGAGCGGCCGGCATTCCCAGCCTTACCTTGCCCAGGGAGGAGAAGCTGAGCTGGAAGAGGAAGGACAGGATCTCTACTAGGTCCATGCCTCGGGTCTGCGGGGGAGACGGAGGGGTTAAAACAGCCTGTGGGGAGGGGGTGCAAGAGGCAGAGCGGCTGGGAAGGGGGCGGGGGAAGGGGACTGTCCCAGCAGCAGACAACACAGGGAGGCAGTAAGGGGATTGGGGAGAAGTGACCGAGGGGGCCAGGGCCCGGGGCGGGCGAGATCTCACCTCGGCGGACTGCAGATACTGCAGCATGAAGTACCAGAGCTGGGAGGACGTGTCCCGGCGGAGGTGATGCAGGGGGGCTCTCCGGGTTCACTGCTGTGGGGAGGAAGAGACAGAGGGTCAGGACTCAGCCCCAGCGTTCCCTATAAGCCGCGCGCTCAGGCGGCCACCCCGGAGAGATTCCAGTGCAGCCACACGGCTCACTAGGTCAGCAGGTGTTTCTGTGGGTGGTGCACATCTGTAGAGGCTTTGGTGCACAGAAAAATTATTCCACACATGGATGGAAAAAATCAGAGGGAATACTGCTCAGCACCCCTCAGACTGCAGGCTGGGGCACCAAAGGGAAACTGGGGAGTCAGTGAAGGGAAGGGATGCGGGTCCCCCCAGCCCTGGATGAGAGCTGGCGCCCCCTATGCCCCCACTCACCTCTTCATCAGCCCGGCTTGGATGAGGAGCTGGGCTAGATCCTGGCTGACAGCGGCGCTGGGGGAGCCCACCATGAAATGCAGGATCACCTGGGCCAGCGGGAGACGGACACACGGACAGGTGGGAGCTGGGCTAGATCCTGGCTGACAGCGGCGCTGGGGGAGCCCACCATGAAATGCAGGATCACCTGGGCCAGCGGGAGACGGACACACGGACAGGTCAGCTACTAGGAAGGCTCAAGCCACACCCCATTTTTCGGCCACCAGAGGGCACTGCACCCCTCTCGCCCCTGGGCCTACTCAAAGGCACAGAGCCCACCTGGGCCCACCCCCGCAGGGCCATGTTATACTCCACCCGCCCCAGAAACGGCTGCAACTCAGCACGGGGCGAGCCATCTCTGCGCAGGGAGGCGTAGCAGCGGGTCCCCACCCCCC